TAGCGTGGCTGGCTGGGGAATTCTGGGAGTTGAAGTCCACCCATCTTAAAGTTGCTGAGGTTGAGGAACCCTGGATTGGAGGGAGGGCAGGAAGCAACCCTGCCAGCTTGTCTTCAGATCAACGATGGGCCACGTGCTCTGCGATGGCTCTTTTATACTAGGCAACCTTCCCAAGGGGGCCTTTTTGTAAATGCGTGTCAGGGATGTCATTTCAGAATTCCCAATGTCCCCGCCAGCCCCCGTCCAGCATGTCCTCCGTTCACTTTCTGAACCAGCAAGATGGGGAGCATCCTTGGGCACGCAAACATGGTGCTGAACACATCTGAGAGGAAGAGGTTGATGACACAAAGTGGAGTGAGCCACGAAGCACCTGTTGACCAGACCGGGGTGTTTTCCTGGGCTTTGAAAGGAATTTGGCTCCTGCGCTCACCTTCGTTTTTCTGAACTGCTGTTATTTTAGGCTTTGCAGTATCCAGTAGTTTTCAAATGCTTCCTTTGCAACATGGTGAGGAAAAACTTCACTTTTGGGGGGGGGGAATTGGGCTCTAAAAGGGCTCTAGGGGCCACCAAAGTGGTTTGCAGGTAGATGTGGCTCTGGCTGCCCCCCAGCCTCCACGTAGGAAGGATGCAAAATCTGTCTTCTAGAAGGAAAACTTTTATTGCTAGAAAATACTAATGTTTCTCTGATGATGTAACTCGCCCACCAGATTTCTGGGCTCACCTTCATCCTGCCCCACGGCCTATTCTTAAGGGAGAGGTCCTCATGTTGTGGCATCCATTTCATCCCCTCCCAATCAAAAACGGCTGAAGTTGTTTGTCTTCACCTCAATCTATTTCCCATCTTCTCCTGAAAAAAATCTGGCCATATGTGCGATCAGTGAAGCCTCACCAATGATATCATGGCTGACCTGGTCAGAGGTTGGAATCTCCTAAGCTCCTAGCAGCCATTTCAGTTGCTGTGGGCACCCCCTGCCCGCCCCCCACCCCCCATTTGGTCCCTGGACATTGGCTTCTCTCTCCATGTGGTCTTGGGCTGTGAGACACGCCAAAAGCTGACTTGCATGCAGTAGAATTGTCAACCAGAGTTTTTTTTTTTAAATTGACATATGACTATTATTCTCCCAGGAGGTAATAAAGAAAGAAATAGGTAATAAATCTTAGGAAATAAATAAACAAACAAATAAATAAATAAATAAATAAATTTCATTCCTACTGATTAATTGGTGGGAGGAGGAGGAGGAGGAGGAGAAGGAGGGGGAGGGAGCTGTCTTCTACCTAGAGCAGGAACACAACTTGACAAAGCTCTCTCCTGCTTCATCCTACAGCCTTCGACCCATGGCAGAAGTTCAGCTGGACTCCTCCACAGAGCAAGAGTCCTATGGGAAAAAGTTCTGCTGACTGTTCAGTGGGGTGTAAAAGGCGCACTGGAGGGGCACGGGATGAACAAGGGGATGGTCTGTGATGTGCGATTAAGCTCTGCCAGACTGACACTTCCTGCTGGGGTAACTGCTTTAGACCAGCCTGCCCACCACACCTGAGGCAGCAAGACTGGTGGTTGTACCTCTGGGCAGCAGGTGGTGCTGGGCGGCAGGGAACCCAGAAAGCAGGGAATGCACCAGTTGCTGGCCGGAGACTGTCCCGATTAAGCCTGTAAGGGCAGCACCACTTGTAACCCACGCAAAAACGGAGTGGAGCTTTGATCACATGGCTGCTGCTGAAATCTTGGCTTTTTTGCCCCCTCCCCGCCCCCCTTGGCCTTGTTGTTGAGGCCCAGGAAAGCTCAGCCATGGGAGTAGCATAGGTCATGCTGACATACTTTTCTGGCAACTCAAGGACAGGAGCAATGCGCACTGATGTGGCCTTCAGGCAAAGCTGCTTCTCTGTCTTGGGTTCTGGGCATCCTTGTTGGGAACTTAAGAACCCGTGAAAGTGACCTCGTCCTTCCGCCACACCAACCGTTCCAAGAAATGCTTCGGAAGGACTGCAGAAGCGGAGGAGAAAGCACAGCTGGGGAAGCACTGCATCTCCGTGTCCAGATTTCTGTCCCAGGCAAGGCCACCAAGGTGGACCAAGCAGCCCACCAGATGTTTGATACCCTTCCTGCATTTGCTGCTTGCGTGCGTGGGAATGCAGAAAGTACCAGGTCTAAGATCCCCAAGCAGGAAGCCTTCTTTGCTTCCCATCTCAACCCCTGCATCTATAGGGACGGAGTTACACAAATAAGCAGTAGTAACGATTGTGTGTGCGGAGCTGCTGGCAAGTCCTAATGCATCAGCTGGAACACTACATCTGGCAAGTTTCAGTGGCTGCTTAGTGCCCCCGACAACAGCACTCCAATAATTCCTTCCATACTGAAATACTTTCTTGACTTTCTCGGTATCCACAGGCAAGTTCCTTCTCGTGTACGTTTACTATTGATTGGCCGTGGTAAACGGAATGCATTCTGCATACGCTCACTGGCACCCCTCTACCCGGCTGAGTAAGAAAGAAAATTCCTAAAACCCTTCTGTTAGACCAAGCACATTCCCTCTTTCTGTATGACCCTTCTAGGCTGAAATAGGCCTGTTGCTGTGATTTTAATGCCCAGAGAGAGGCAACAGAAGAGAAGAGATGCTGCAGCCAATAACCCAAAAGCAGTGATGCTCAAGGGGGCTGAAGGTGGCTTCCCTCCTCTCCTCCAGTCCCAGCAGCCTCCCCTCCCTGGTGGGCTGGGCTGATGGGCTCCCTCCCACCCTCAGCCCCCTCTCCTTATATTTCTTCAGCAGCCAGTGCCTGCTTTGCAAACCTTGAAGCCTCAGGACAGCCAAGGCTTCTGCAACATGCTGGCTCAGCGCATTGCCAAGCTAGTTCGCCTTGGAGCCTCTGGACACGGAGCCCTGGGGAGGGGTAATCCCGGGTTGGCGCCGGGCAGCTTGCAGCCGGGGAGATGCTTCGGTTACACCCAGAAGCTTCACAACGTCCCTGCGGAGAAGGGGTAAGGAACGTCTTACTCATTTTCGCTTTCTGGAGGCTCTGCAAAACGGGTGGGTGGGAAGATGTTCAGGCACTTCTTCAGTGTTGGGTGTCTTGAACCCAGCGGGGCCTGAGGCTGCAGCAAACCGGACGGCCCCCCTGTGCTCCAGACTCTGCCGGAGGACCCGAAATGAACGTCAGTACTGGTCGTTCTGGCGAAAGGTCCTACCCTCCACAGCTGCTTCTTGCTTTAGTTACAAGAAACTTTCCTACCCCCTGATTCCACTGGCCTTCCACTGACCTGACTAAGGCAATTAAAAACCTGTAAGGATGCTATAAAGCCGAGAGCTATGAAAATGCCATAAGGAATATTTTTGGAAGAAAAATCACACCATGTAAATCATAGTTCATTGATAACTGCCCACTAAAACTTGGAAAGAGTCTTTCTCTGGCCACCCAAACAAATCTGTGGGGGCTCATCACAGAGCTCTCTTTACCTGAGATGAGATGCTTCGTCCAACTGTGCTACAGCAAAGGCCTTTTAAGGTGGGGTGCCGGTAGCAGCCAGCCAAGAGATACCTCTGAGAAATGGGCCACATTAACCTTCTGGGCCAAATTAACCACAGAATCGTCAAAGTAAGGATTGGAGATCATCATGTTACGTAACAAGTAGTAGCAGAATCCTAAAACAAGGACATCAAGAGCAGGAGGGGGGAAGACTTTGCCTCGCTGTATTCCCATCCTCTTACCCGCCCTATTTAACAAACTACAGCTCATACAGAGCCCATTGGAAGGCCTGAAGAAAGTCATGTATTACCTCTGCCAGAATGTGGACCCCATTGGACTGTATCATGATGCATCATGTTCTTTTATTTAATATCTTTATAAATGGCTTTTCTTCACTAGTGATTTCTAGAATTCACAGGTAGCATTGAGATGAACTTTGTCCAAAGTCACATTCAAATGAATGGGCCTTAAGGGATTAATTATGACCAATTTCCTAATTGATTTCTTCAGTGATGCTTCTCATCATGAACAACCTAGCTTAAGTAGTGCCCCATCAAAAAGATGGTCAAATTAAAGCTGTTATTTGCCTTATGTTCATTGCTACACAGGGCAAACAGGAAAAAAAAACCCCTAAGAAAAATATCCTCTTTAACCTGAAAAGGAACATTGCATTTACATCTAAATAAGGATTAATTCCTTGAAACATGGAGTAAATGGTGATACTCCCTTGGCTGGCTTTGCTCAACACCTGCACCTTCTTCCCAATCTAAAGTACAAGCAACTATGTGTGTTGCATCCCCAGAGGGATTTCTTCCTTCTTCAGCATCTCCTTGCTCCAGACCTAGATTTCCAGCTCCATCAGGCTCAGATGTTCAAAGTCCTTTGTTCATTGCTGGCAACATCATGGAGAACAAAGGTGGTGCAGTGATGAAAATGTTGGACTAGGAACAGGGAGAACCCGGTTTAAGTGTAGCCTTAGCCACAGAAGCTCCTGGGATGACTTTGAGCCAGACCCTCACTCTCAGCCCAATTAACCTCAGAGGGTTGTTGTTCTGGGGAAAAATAGGAGGAGGGAAGGAGGGAGGGCCACGTGCACCACCTGGACCTTCTGAAGAAAGGTGGGATATAATTCAAGAGATACAAACCTGCGCAACTGATAAATGGGGCTTACCAAGAGCCTGGAAAAGCCCCTGTGGGATTTCTTCAGCGCTTGCTGAGGGCACAGAAGCCCTGATGGGGGGTTAGAACTATGTTGGCTTGGCAGTTCACAAACCACCCAGACCTAGGCTATGACTGAAAGGGCAGCGAAGTAACTCCAGAACATGCGAGGACTTCTGGGTGAGCACCCGAGAAGGGGCCTCCTTTCGCTGCACAGGGCGGGCTTTCCCAAGGCTGCAATTCCTGAGGAACCGAGGAAGCAGCGCAGAGGCCATGCCAAGGCTATGCGATTTATCTTGAAAACAAACCTTGAAGGGAATCCTTCTAAAGTGCCATCAGAACAGCAGCTGATGTCGACATCTTTTAAACCATGGCTTCCATTTCCACTTTGGGGAGCAACGATTTGCCTTCCCAAATTGGACCACACTTGATCTTTCCACACTCTCCATCTGTGGCTGCTAGTCTGGAATAGTGTTGGATTGTTTTAATCATGGTTTAATGAATAAACTACAATTTACAAACTGCATGATGGCCTAATTTGCAGTTGCATAAAGTCATAATTATGGGTTACTTGGGTTGGCTTAGCATGTTGTGTGATGCCAGCCCAATGTGGGTTATTTTAAGTAAACCATGGTTAAAAAATAATGGCTTAGGAAGATGTATACACTTAGCAATGGGGGAGTGCAATGGCCTCTGAGTGGCAAGCCAGCCTGCCACGACAGCTTCACCATTGTTAATTTAAATCAGTTTAATTAGACACAGGTAATATTATTACTGTCCATATATTTCAGGCTTTTATCCTTCTGTCAGATTTCAAATGAGAGGTTGGGGACATGGGGAGGGGACCCCCACCCGCTTTCAGCCTTTGGATGGCCACTTTTGACCTTGGGTGTCTGTTTGGAACCCCAAATTTAGAGTCCTCTGACAATAAAGAAAATGTAAGTGGGATACTAGGTTAAAGTTTACAAATGTTAACAGATTAAAGGGGTCCTCTTCCATCTGCTCATGCCCCCCCAACAAAACCAGCAGCAAAGGTGTTTCTAGTTTAGGCCCCTCCTTGGAGAAACTGTTTCCTCTCGGAGCTCAGCTGGTCCGTCCTTGGGTCTGAACTATTTTTGCCCCCGTGTAAATACTGTTTTTTTAATCTCTCAGAGCTAAATTATTTGCAGGCGCTAGATAGTCGCTTCCATTCCTTTGTTTTTTTTTAATTAGATCCTGCTCAGCGGCCAAGTCTCTCAAATGCAGCAGTGCCCAAACAGGAACTTTCAAATGTGCAAACATTAAATTGTGCTGACTGAAATTTGAACGCTGGGACAGCAGCTGGAACCATTTTTGACAGGCGAAACTGTAATGAAGAAAAATGAATTCGGTGTCAGCACATAATGATCTCAAATGGCACAGTTGGAAACTATAGTCAAAGTGCAGCAGGCTGTGGCCAATCTCCCCTAGACTGCAGCTGTGAAGAGACCACAACTCCCAGAATTCCAACTCCCAGCTGGCTTGGCATTCTGGGAGTTGCAGTCTAACCATTCCAAAGGGCAAGAGGTGGGGAAGCTCTACAAGGGCTTGCAATGATTTTTTATTCTTCTTCATTCTATGCTAATTCCCAGGCATCTTCTCACAAGAGAGTCTGTTACAATCCTGCGCGCATTAAATCTGGAAGAGGATTGTTGCACAGCTTGGCTGTGGTCCACTCCTCTGCAGAAGGATGGTCGAAGAGAACTTGATGGAGCTGCAGATTGTAGCCCTCTCAGCTCAGGATGCGGACCTCCAACCTGTGGCAACCCAACAGGGCTTTGCCTGACCCAGATTGGGACCTTCTGCATGTAAAGAATAAGCTTTCGTCTGTGAGCTTTGGCTCTTCCCTTTTCTCGTGGGTAATAATCCCCCATATGTCCAAGTATTTTATATAGCCTGACTCCAAGGACGATTTTTAATCAATTGTAAAGGTCATTATTTGAGTCATCAAAGACGTTGCTCGTAAGCAGAGGTGATGTGGCAGTTTCAGCTCCTGCTTAAGTCAACGTTGCTTCCTCCCATACCAAGTCCTTTTCTTCCTGCCAGAAATGATAAATCAAGGCTATAAGGCACCACAATCCATTTCCATAGCACGTCTGCTTCTCCCAGGACTCCCTGGAGCAAGGAAGGCAATTTTGGACATTCAGGACTACCAGATTTGGGCTGCCTGGATCTAATGACCACTAGATGGCAGCAAAGAGATATAGAAAACTCCAATCCTTTGCTGCCATCCGGTGGTCATCCAGAATGTTTTGCTGACTAGATATGAGAGTTCTTGAAGAAGTAGATTATTGGGAATTTGTCTTTGACCACTGAGAAAAACTCTGGAAGCATCTATAATGTCATTAGAATGAGAATCATGTGGCTGTTGTTTGCAGCAACCTTCCCAAACATACTCCATCCTGCCAATTGCTCCACCAGATGTGATTGCTGGGAGTTGTAGCCCAACACATTTGGATGAGATATAGAGGAGGAAATATGTGTATATGGAAATAAAGAAAAAAACGTTCGATAACTGTACAGCAGAAACAGTGGGAACCTGAGCTATTCCCATGACATGCCCTGGCTTGAACAGGTCTTCCTCTCTTCTCTTTAAGTGCTTGGGCTGAAAAATGTAAGATAGAGAAAGCCCTGCTGTGCTGAAACAACGGGCAAGGGTCAAGGAAGTCCGTCCCCGAAGAGGACAGGTCAGGGAGTGGGATGACCTAAGCACAAAGGAGCAGGACTGCCTGGCAAACAGAGGGATCGACGTGTCCCATAAAGAGAGTTATTACAGAAAAACCATTGTACTTCAGAGGCAATGCCAGAGTCCAGAATCACTCCATTAAAGCATCCTACATTGTAATGTATGTATGGATGGAACTGATGATAACAACGTTCTGAGCTTCTTTATTAATGATTTGCAATGAAATTGCTTTTATACCCTAATTGCTTTTATACCCTAAACGATTACTATATCCCAGCCAGCAGGCAGCCACTGAACACTGTTGCCATTTTGGGAGCTGGGAGGAGATGTGTTCCATGGACATAAGGAAATTGCAAAACTGTGAGAGGAGAATGGTTCCTTGACTTGGAGGTTCTTCACATATAGCAAACCCATGGCTTGGTAGTGTCCATTGGCCATAACCTGTGCAGTGTATGCACTTAGTTTCTCTACTCCCAATGTCTCTGCATGAGACTATTGAGGGAGTGGGAGAAATCAAGGCAGAGGGAAGGTACATGGTGCACACTTGATAAGAAACTGCAGGAGGACACAGGGTTTTCAGAGGGTTTGGAGAAAGCAAGAGAGGTGGCTTTAGAGGGGAATTAAATGGTTCACAAAATGTCATTCCTCTCCTTATGGGAGTGAGCTACAGACAGAAGTTCAGTTGAACTAAACTTATGGAGGCCTCAGAAAGCCAAGTTGGAAGCAAGTTGTTGGAAGCAATGTCCAGGCAATGATGATGTTGGACGGGTGATGGAGGAGAGAATTCAGGTGTAGGAACGTGTCACGATTTCAGATCAGACAGCTGTGGGGTGTGGTGGGAGGGCTTGACTTGGTCAGGGAAGCTTTACAAGTTCTAGTAGCCAAAGCTCAGATTTGAAGAGCTGGGCACTGGTAACAGAATTTAAATTTGACGGTTGATGACCAGAAAGGCGTGATACAGAAGATATGTGGACATGTGCAAATGTGACCCCTTTTATTTGCAGACCAGGTATAGGTTCCAGCAGGTACAGATTCAGATTTAAAAAAAAAAAGATACCCAGCAAGATGCATGGTTGGAGATAGGGAAAGTTTTATTACTTCTGAAAATTTAGTATTTTCTTCCTTTTCACAGGCAAAATATAACCTATATTGACAGCGATGCAGAGCTCTCCCCAGAGGGAACTTCTTCCAGCACTTCCTGGAATGTTCCGATGTCCATGCAATGTTGTGTGGTTACATAGTCATTCCAAGAATGTGTGCCAACAAGAATCAGCTTCTGATCAGGATTCACTTTTCTATGAACAGCTGAACATTCTTGCTGTGAAAAGGAAGGAAAATTCAAACCCTCTGGCTACCATGTACATTTTCGAAAACAAGTTACATTTCCTCCCACTCCACCCCCTGGGGAAAAACAGAAATTAACTGGGCTGTTCCAACAGGGGTTCATTCTCCTATGGATATGCTGGGAGCAAAAACAAGTGAAAAACCCCACATCACTCCTGACGAGTTCTGTGATGCAATCCTTATGCAACTATTGCGGAAATGGTCAGAAGAAGGGGCAGCTGAAGAGACAGAGAGGAAGGACGTTATTTTCGTAGCGCTGTAAAGGAAAAAATAGGAAACTAAAGCTAGCGATACAAAAGCGAAGGGTCTATGCTCATTCAGCAGGTTGAATGACAGTGATAGCAGTGAACAGGAAGAATCAGCCAGAGAGTGCTGTTGCTGACAGAAGAAAAGGGAGATGAGTCACATCTGATGACCCTGAAGTTTCCAAGCAGAAATATCCAGGTCATTGGAAATATAGAGATGGATAAAGAGCTGAGAATAGCAGAGGTCAAATAGCAAGTTCTGAGGGACCCCAGCTGAACTCTCCATGGAGATATTTGAAGAAACGGTCAGAAAATCAGGATTTGCTCATGCAGACCGTGTCACCATCCTGCAGTTCTCCTGATACATCATGGTTGATATTGTGCAATGTAATTCACTAGAAATCTGACCTGCCAAATTCCCTAGTGGACTACCCCAAAGTCCAATATATAAGTAGTTTAAAGGATGGATTCTTTGGCCCAAACTGACTAAAAGTCATAGATGTGGGGTGTGGGACATGGGAAACTATTCCATTCTTTCTGATGGCCCAAGTTTGAATTTTGTTCCATGTTTTGCTCAGAGGTGAGGAAAACTGGAGACCTCTTCTTCCTTGTGGCTGCGCAACTCCTACCTTATAGATACCTTAATGGCTCTGGGTCCATGGCTAACTTACTGCCCCACTATCTTTAGGAAGTGGCTATGTTCCAACCAACTAACAGAAAATATAGGAACGCTTTCAACTTTTGACCAAATGGGAATGGCCATTTTTACATGCAACTGCTTTGACTGTCAAGTTTGACCAGTGGTCACCTGGCATTTGGAAGCACCTGAGCTTCCTCCGAACGTGTGCTGTGTTTCTTCTTTCCCTGTGCAGTTCTACAGACAAAGTGAGGCTACATTTTATTAACCGGGATGGAGAGAAATACTCAGTCGCAGCCAAAGAAGGAGAAAGTCTGCTGGAGGTGGTGATAAATCACAATATTAACATCGATGGCTTTGGTCAGTGGTGAGACATTGTCTTTCTCTCTTCAGACTTTATTGGTTACCAATAATCTTTTATTTTAGGAGTCAGCAACGTTGTTATCCAGACCATTCTGTAAAAAAAAACACCCACATCCTGAGATCTATACCTCTTCTCTTTTCTCTTGGACTTCCCAGCAATGTGAACTAAGAGTACTGGATCAAATTTAGAAACACACAAAATTGCTTAAACAAATCCATTTAACACCCACAGTTTGAACATTCTGCATTTTTTTCCTAAGCCTAGATATACCTGTGAAAGTCTATGCTCTTTGGTGTTACTCAAAGTAAAACCAAATTCAGTAAATTGCGGGTCACACAGTCAGCCAGATGTTTAGACTGGGTTTGGCCTTTTTATCCACGTATCGAGTCCTTCCCAAGGACCTGGGAGAGGCAGATGTTGCTGTCTGATGGTGTTAAAGGCATCATCGCAGGATGTGAGCTGTTCCAAGTAAAGCCGCCTTTTGCAATTGATCGGTGGCGATTTTGTCAATGCCGATGGTGTTCAAGGGGTGCTCCAGATGTTTTGGGACTGATGGTGATGATTTTTACTATTATTATTTATTAAACTTATATGCCACCTGACTCTCAATGACTCTGGGCAGCTCACAACAATTAAACAAGGAAATTACAATCAATTCCTTAACAGATAAAGATTAAAGATGTGCTGAGCATCTTTCTCTTTTCCTGCTAGGATGCAAAAATAAATAAATAAATAAATAAACAAATAAATAAACAAACAAATAAATAAATAAATAAATAGATGTATCACATTACAGCAAAAAAGACTCACCGGGAGATGGCAGCAAACTGATTCCTACAATTGTTTGGGTTTTCTTTTCCTAAGGAAAAAAATGAGCAAAACAGATCCTCCCACTTCTAAGGGGGTTACAAAAAGCAGATGGCAAAAGCGCCCTTCTTAGGCAATAAGGCACCTCAGCAAAGAGGCCGGAATCAATAAATAAACGGGAATCGAACATGCTGTGAAACGAAGAGAGCCCCAGCCTCTGCCCTCATGTTCATCTACAGGAACGCCTGTAGGTCCCACAAATCTTCAACTCGGGTGGTTGAAATACTGTATATTAGGAGCTCCTTCTTCTTCTGGTAAAAGAGTGCTTCTCATTAGCCTGCTAGGGCGAGGGAGCCATCTGGTGAATAGGTCGTCTCCTCTGGCTGCCATTTTGTGAGTGCACCCACCACATACTTCTGATATTCTCAATGTGCCTCCGCCGCAAGACGTACGCCCACATCTAAGCATTCAAGGGCTTACTTAAGTTTGCTTCACCTGTCTACTCCTTCTGCAGGAAGCATAAAAGACAAAGCAGAAACATTCCTCAGCATTTGGACACCCAGGTGGCCAGGAAAACTTGGAAGGAGCAGTAACCAAACCCTAGTTTGTTTCTGAATTTATTCTAACTTTCATAACTGGAATATGTTACGTAGCTCCATCCAACCGATCCTGTGATGTGTCCTGTATTTCCTTGCAGTATTGGCACCACTTGCTTTCTTCAGTGCTTTCTAAAATTCAGCGCGTGGAGAGGAGATGCTTCTGTTTCTGACTGCAGCCAGCACACAAAATGAGCACCGAATAGCTTCTGGTGACGGTTGCCTCTTTTCTCCCACAGGGGCCTGCGAGGGCACACTGGCCTGCTCCACTTGCCACCTTATCTTCGAGAAAGCTGCATTTCAACAGCTGGATGAGATCAGTGACGATGAGCTGGACATGCTAGACTTGGCCTACGGACTGACTGACACGTGAGCATCCGTGGCGCCCCTTCCCCGGTCCTGCTTCCCCTGTGATTCTGGGTTCATTGGAAAGGGGACGGGCGGGCAATTCTGTTCTGTGTCATGGGAGCAGATGCAGTTGCCAAGGAGCAGAAGCAGATAACAGCAGACAAGTTGTAAATCGAAGACTTAGCAAAGTAAAGTACCGAGAAGCGAAAGAGTAGTCTAGTTACGTTGCCAAAAGTCACGAAGCCACATTGGGTAGTCAGCCAGTCCAGAAGTCGGGAATTCAGGAAACCCACAGGACACAAGCTAGGTTTTCAGACAGTTGTTTTCCAACAGAGAGCAAAGGCAAAGCAAGCTACGTAAACCTCTGGGCTGGCAGCTGGTTGCCAGGATTCAGGCCTCCCCCTTTGCCTTGCGCGGAGTCTCCTTATTGACGCTGCTCCGCTCGCCTCTGCGGGCGTCTGGATCTGGGGCTTGGGGGTCGCGCCTCCTCATCTGACTGCTCCAGCTGATCTGGAGCGGCCTGTGGAGCAACATTGTGAGAATCAGGGTGAGAGCCAGACTCGTGGCTCATGACAAATACAGCCACTTCCAACTCTGCGCTCTGGCCATTTTTTAAATTAAAACAAGAATGCAAGTTGCTCATCTCCACGATTCCAGAGACAGCCTTAATGGGGAGCAATGCCGGACCAGCTGCCCAGGCTGTTGGAGAGCTCAGTCAGCTTTGCGACATCTAGGAAGAGAGGTCTAGAAGGTATCATACGGTCTCCTGCCCAACCTTGCACAAGTGGAAGCATAGTTGTCTAGAGAAAAGAAAAGCTTGCTTAACCAGCTATTTTCTGGACCATTTTGGCCTGTGCATTCCTTTTTAGAGTCTTCTGGATTTTTATTTTGATTGTAATCCTCAGCTCACATGGCTTCTGAAGATGGAACAGAGGGATGTCCCTCACCTCAAGCGACATTTTGAGCTGCATTTACAGGCTGAGTTCATAAGGGAAGCCAAAGGCCCTGCCTTCTGCCCTGCTGCAGGGGGTAAACCCTGGCAACAGGTTAGGCTGTTACATGCTAGGAAAGTGACACCAAAATTCAGATATTTGCATCTGCTTTCAGGTCTCGTCTTGGCTGCCAGGTGTGTGTGAAGAAATGGATGGATGGCCTGACCGTCCAGGTGCCCACGGAGGTCTCAGATGTCAGGAGAGAACTGGAAGTGGAAAAGCAAAACACACAGTAGCCAAAGTGCATGACATGCCACGCAAATATTATCCTGATCCTGTCAAAAGTGGGATGGTCCTTGCTTTCCGTATTGAAAACGAGCTCACCCTAGACCAACCAAACCCCATTTCCAGGTTCACATAACTTGCTGCGCCCAACGAATTCAAGGATACTGTGGCTTAATATGACAGTTTAGTTCACACAATACGTGGAAAGAATCACTGGGTCATCACAACCCACTTAACCATGCACAACACAGCTTCATTTTAGCCCTAGTTTAGGTTGTTGTATAAAACTGGTCCCTGAAAGGTATTCTGTGTTCAAAATCTGCAGCTTCAAGCAACAAACCTGAATTGGGATGAAAAAATTGTTATCTGTGGAGCTCGCCTTAGAAGGCTTAGGAAGACTACTGTATGTTTGTTGCTTCCAAGGAAAACTCTTCACTGCTTGATAGAACTGATGGGGGAAAGATTGTGAAATCCCAGAGTAGCAGCCTATTCCAAATCTATCAGTTGGTGGCTGTGTTTATCCCATTACACCGGGCTGTGATGTGCTCTGATTTGGAACCCACATATGTAACAAGGAAAGGCACACCCGGTGGCCATACCATGAGCCAGAGAACGAGCAAGACTTATCTCATCTAGTAAAACAAAGTCGAGCTCAACTGGTGATGACTACAGGGACACATCTCTGCAATCTGGCCCTGATGATTTTCCTTCCAAGTGATAACACCAAGTCCAGTCCTGCTTAACTTCCAAGCCCAACCTTGGCTCTTCTAGACTGGTAGGCCAATTCACATTTGAACCAATCCCTTGGAGAGGACAAATCCTTAGTTCCATAGATGTGAAGTTAGAGAGATGCAGTGAATGATTAGGATCATTCCTGGCTATGAAGACCATTGTCCTGGTTTTTACTGCTGATTATTTCTCTGGAGTGCGATTGTTATTGTGCATTTTTCACAAAGTGTATTTTGAAGAATTTCCCCTTTACTGCTACCCATGCCAAATACTATTCTGTTAGAAAGGTAGAAATAAAAACTTTCAAAGCAAAAAAGATAACTAGCAATTGTCAAATTATCAGATATAACTTTCTATAGGTGAATATCTATACAAACTGGGAAGGCAATCAAAGCTCCCCACTGAGTAAATGACACAAGCATAAAATAGTAATTTCAACGAGTTACAAATGTCAGGACTTTCTCTCCACTCCCGTGAAACTATGTAATATGAAACTCTATATATGGTAAATGTACACCATGTACCAAATCTAATACTTGAACCGTATCAGAAGCACTTTAGAAGCATCTCTGAGAAACGTCAGCTGCTGTTCAGGCTTGCTAGTTGCCAGGCTAATTGTTTCTCACAGTAACTAATCAGAATTTTTTAAAAACTCCTTCAACTTAAAAGAGTCACCTTTAATGAGATGGGTAGCCCTATAGATTTGATAAATAAAAAACATGCAGAGATTTGGATAGTGTAAGAGATTGACGGGACATCAAAGTGGCTGTCTTCTCTACAGCTTGATGCCACTGGCAATGTTTAGTAATCAAATACTACATTCTGGACTAAACACTTATTTTTGAGTGCAGCATTTATATTTGACAATGTTTACCCATCAGATCAACATTTTTTGCCATAGCAAGGCACTTTACAGTTCACTAAAGAAGATTAAATAAATCTTTCTTGGTACTGTTTACGTTAGTGTTCCCAAGATGCTCTGTTGAATTGAGCCATCAAACTATGGTCTTCATCTAGAAATGAGCATTATTTTTTCTTTAAAATTTAATTCTTGCCTCTCTGTACCTGGCTGAGCTGAAGCCTAAGGATCACTGGGGGGGTGGGGGGCAGCAGGGGTATGGTTCTGCAAACAGTAGTCAAGTCCTCTTCCACCCTCATCCCCCAGTTTGCTAAACAGTCACACTTGGCCTTGTGTGGGCTGCCTTATCCAAAGGTCCGAGGCCAGGCTGACTGGAATGGGCTTGAGTGAGTGCCTGAACGAATGGCCAAAGGAGGACATGTGTATTTTGTAAGGCAGTGCTGGGATCGTCAAGGGACCTCTTCCTAAAATGCATCAGTTATAGAGGTCACTCTGCAGAGGTGCCTTGGGAGGGGCCACACTTTTGATCATATGAATTTGATTTTGATGCCAGTGCTAAAGAGAAAAGGTTTATTGACTGATCTGGTGAACCTGCCTCCAACTTTCAAATACCTGCAAGAGCAGGGGAAGGGAAGGGGTTGGGAGGGAGTCTGAGAAAAGGTTGGGCTAGAAGGACAAAGACTGGGGATTGGATCACATAATATTTTAGACTAGCCAAAAATGGCCCTGGGTCATAATCTGGTTCAAAATGTGGGAAGCCCAACCATTGTTTCAGTGGGTTATGTGAACCATTATATTAAGCCATAATATGCTTTATTGGTTTGAGTTTAGCATAGTACGTACGTAAATGCAACAACCGAATTTTGTAAATCCAAGTTTTAGATTTTCATATGATGGGAACCAATCCTAGCAGCCATTATGGAGGCAGAAGGAGGGAAGTAGAGAACTTCTAGAAAAGCGCAGTCTCTGTCCAGGGCATGAGGGCAAGAGAGGAGAGGTGCCCACTGTATGGTGGCTGAAAGATTAGAGGCAAATAGGTGAGTAGAAGGGAGGGAGAAGAGTGAATGTCCAGGATGAAGGGTCCAAAGGAGGAGTGAATGTCCAGGAGAGGGAGTTACACACTCCAAGATCAAATTCCAAAATGGGTTTCTTGCAGCCAGGGAGACCCATAGAAAAGTATTTGAAGTCCAAAGCCAGCCCAGCTCAAGCCCAGGTTATGGTTCTAGAGGATGGAGGCAAGAGACCAAAAGTTAAGGACTGCACAGCAAAGAGTCAGTATCCCAGGTAGTCCTTCAGGTTACTCTGGAGTAGTCTTTCAAATCACAACGGCAATCAGATTTACAAATACTGGGCACTGCTTGTGTGAGGCAGAGAATGTTATACTAGACATATTCTGCACTTACTTACCTGGTACTCAGCCAACCTGGCCACGTGGCAAAATCATCCAGGCTACTCTGGAATATACCTTCAGTCCCAGGCAGTCTCCCTTACAAGCTGCTCTGACTCAGTGGACTTCATTTAGTCCACTGGCACCCATAAGCTGGGTGGCTCTTGCTCTGAACTTGGATCTGGGCAATGCTGGGCAGAAAGGCCAAGGTCAGGAGGAGCTCCTTTGCATAGTAGTGTCTCACATACCAGCCATATGATCTTTATTACAATCACTGACCAGCAAATTAAACAGTCGACATCATAAAAGAATAGAAAACAAAGTGTGGGAAGCTGTGACCTAGGGAAGAAAGCATAGACTTTATCTAAAACAATAAAATGCCTTAAAATCTGAAAAATTTCTAAGACATCAACAGGACTGCATATGGATAGCAGGATATTAAAATTAGAACCTAAATGCTGAAAACAAAATGACTAAATTAATGAATAAAAATATTTGAAGAATAAAATTGTAGAATTCTACCCATTGAGTATTATGGTATTGAGTGTGTAAACTTGAGTATATAAGTTTGAGTAGGGACTCATGTTTGAGTAAAATCATATATTAGTCAGTGACAAATAAGATATGATGGGAGAGAAGACCTAGATATGATGTAAGAAACATAGAAGAACAAAGTAAAATTGTGCATTAATAAAATCAACAAATTAAGAAAATTGCATAGGGCAATGACAGCTGAGAGAAATTTTGCAACTTTCCTGGTGGTGTTGAGGTCCTGGTCTAGCAATGAACAAATAAGATTGTCCTCCAGGCCGAAGGGACTTCTGCTGGCAGATGAAGGTATAAGGGTGGAGCGTACGTTACTCTAGAGAGGACTTGAAAGGAACAGGTGGGCTGGGGTCTCAGGTTCCTCCAGAGCACAGGGACAAGTTCAATCTGCAAAAGGAATATTATTCTATCTTCCCTCCAAGACATTAAGGTGGGCTAGAGAGAAAACTCTACGGTGTGTTGGGGAGGTGACATTGAATAAATAGTTGCTGGTGTGGAAGGTGTGCTGTACTTTGCATTTCCAACTTGTGACTTGAGAGCTGTCCCCTCCCCACTGTTGGACCCAGGCCTGAGGGTCTGCTAAGAGAAAGGGCCTGGGTGACTTCTCACCTCCTTTATTCGAAACTGGACTTGTTCTTCTTGCTATTTGTCCTCGGAGGCAACAGGCTGCTTTTGAAATGAACCTGTTGTTTTAAAGCAAAAAGAGTTGCTTAAATATCTGCTTTTCCTTCAGTTTTCAAAGACTCACAAAAAGTCTACACAACAGCACTGCCAAGTTTTCAGAGGGAGCTTTTGCAGCAGAGACAGGACTTGAACGTGGGTATTCTCAGTCCAGGACCAAAGTGGAAATCACTCTTTGCTCTTTTCAGGTAGTTTTGAGGGCTAGCAGAAATATAGACCAAAGGAAGATTGGAGAACATCAAGAGGGACCTCCAAGTAGGGGGCTTCCGGGCAAAATCCTCAAGGTGGTGATCACAATAGTATGGCTGCCATCTTGTGGACTTTGTCCACCCCCCAACCCGCTCCTGCAGACATTCCTGGTGCTGTGTCTGAAGAGGACTCCTTCCCGGTTCCCAGCAGAGCAGTTCTTCTCCAAGACAGGGGATATCATTCAATGTGGCCATTTTTATTTCTCTTCCTCATTCATATCAGGTACATGCGGTAGCTGTGGTAACAGCTTGAGTTCTGGCTCAGGCCCCTCCATGTCACAGCGGTGACATGCAAACAGCCTGAGTTTTTCTGAATCCAGAAAATCCTAACAAGTTCTTCACAAATCAAATGGTATTACAGCACTGCAAGTATTTCCTTCAGATACACTCTGTGGCGCTTGGCTGGGAACACATCTGAATTTGAAAGTATTTGGTGGTGCATTCACAAAATGGGAATCATTTTGTCATGGGAGATTTGCTTGTGGCTGCTGTGGTGGGCCAGGACTATTTACTAGTCGCCAGCCCCGCCAGGTAGACCAGACGAACAAATCAACTCCACAGGGAGGTTAAAACTATCTTTACTGAAATTAGCTGCAATAACAGAATCTTGCAAGTCTGATGGTGCTGGACCTCCCCCCCCCCCTCTTCTACTCTAGGGCAGGGGTTCTCAACCTTGGCCACTTTAAGAAGCATGGACTCCAACTCCCAGAATTCCCCAGCCAGCATGCTCATTATCTCGTTTCTCAGGACTTAAAAACACGTCAGTCCATAGGCAAGGGTTCTTGCATATTTCTGGAAGGTCACCTTCCTGGCTCTCTACACCAGGAGACAAAACTGCCCACTCCCCCATGAACAAGTAGAATCTTCTAGGAGCCTAAAGGAGTGGCTGCAGATAAATAGGATGCTGCGGTCTGCTCCCTTGCTTTGCAGAATGTCAGCTTTCTCTTTATTCTTTTCTTTTTTAATGAAAAGTATCTTATTAAAAAGAAGCCAGGTGGGCACTAAGGGGAGCGTTGAGGCAAATGGATCTGCAAGGACATTGCTCTCCTGGTCTGAAGACCCTGCTCTCCTAGAGCTGAAAAAGCATTCTATCCCGTTTGCAGAAATGCTGAGAAATGTGGACTGTCCATGTTTATTTATTCACTTAATTTTTGTTTACATTGCTAAGTGAACTCATTTAATTGTTGATGGTTGTTCTTCCTACCCTAATATCGTAAGTATGATTAATTATTGAGAATTTAAATATCAATAAATATTCAATATTTATATAAAAGTAACTTTTAAAAAGAAGTGAGCTTATTTAATGTTGATAACGTAATAGTGTTCCTACATGATAGCCTTATAAATAGGGCTTCCGTATCTTTAATATTTAAGTTCCATATGGATTTTTGTATTTCCTTTTTCCCTTCCTTGTTTGTGTCTACAGACCATATAACAATAAAATAAAAACAAAAAAGGACAGGAGAAAAGAAAGAAGATAATGAAACTTATCTACTAGTTTTTCTGCTAACCCCAAATC